TCTTTCTGTTACCCTGCCCCCTCCTGGGTGTCCTTTAGCACTGTGTCTGGTTACAGAGTGGGGACCAGCCAGGCTAGCCGGCCTCATGAGACCTGTCCTGCAGCCCCAGCGTGAGTCCTCACACCTACCTCCCCATGGGCTTCTCTTCTTACTCTGCAGACCCCAGACAGTCTTGGGACTCCCTGGGCCTCCTCAGGCTGAGGCTTCTCCTCAGGCTGCAGGGCTGCACATATCTTCCCTTTCCTTCTTTCTGTCTCTCCCCAGCAACTCTTTAAAAATGTAACAAATAATAATTGTATCCTTGTTCAAATGTTGCACATAAAGAAGCCACAGTACTATTTGGTTGTAGTATGTCATTCTCGGACTAGATGATTTCTTAGACTCTTACCTATTTAAAATGTCTTAAAAGTTAATTCAGGGACCAGTGCTCAGTGGCACTGTGCCTGCCTACCAAGCTCAAGGTCCTGAGTTCATCTGCTACCAAAACAACAAGAACAACAACAAAAGTTAATTCAGGGCCTGAGAAAACAGAACTGCACTGATCTGGGATACCACAGAGCAACATTTTAAGAGCTGACGACAGAGCCAATATGTTAGGGACACAGATGCCTTCCTGCAGGAGTCCATAGAAGCTTTGTTCTGTAAATGGGAACTGGTCTCCCCACACAAGACTTTAGGAGTTTCTAGAATGTGTTTGTCAGTCTGTGCAAAGATTTTCTGTGGACTAGCATCCAGTGAAATGCCAAGGGGAAACACTCTTACCTGTAGATCTCTCAGCTCAGCTCTGGGATTTGAAGAATCTTTCATCAGGAGTTCAGACTTTGTTCCCATTAGCAAGCCACATGGATGACAGAAGCACGCATATTTTACTGGGCAGCCTCACCCACAGAGACAGGGCAGCAGAGTCTTTGGCCATGGATGTTTGGGACATTGGCCATAGGCACCAGGGAAGCAGAGAGAGACCCACGGCCTGGCAGGTACAGTACATGGGAAAGTTGCCCAAGGCCCCATGGTGTGCTGAAGAACACTAAATGCTTTTTCATTTCCATGTACAGCTAGAGGAGAAATCACTCTTTAACCCCATGGGACACTAAGAAATCTTCTCATGTCGTGATTACCTGTGTATATGTAATTGACCAGTCAGGTGGCATCACTACTGTTCAGCTGGCTGCAAAACCCAGTGCCCTGTACTTATGCCAAGGTGGCCCAGACTGTTCTCAGCATCGGAACTAGCTGTGTGACCTTGGACATGTACTTGTTCCTCTTGAGGTATTCTGCGTTCTTGCTTGCAACACCAGGACAATACACCTCTGGCCAGCTCCATGATTTGTTGATGACAGTCAAATGAAGGAAAGCACATGTGTCTGGCAGGATACCTGGGTGACACAGGATAAGCACAGCAATCTCTGTAAAAAATATATAGCCTGTGGGTACCTTGCTGGTCTTTCCCTTTGTGGGAACTGGACCCAGATCTGTAAGCCAACTTCTAAGTTCCCTTTGGGGTTTCATGGGAGAGGTAAGATGGCAGGATAATAAAAGGGGCAATGGGCTTGGCGGAGCCTGTCATTTGACAGCAAAGACAGGCCATTCCCTCCTCATAGAAATTCTTGGAGCTTTGCAGAGCCTCAGAGTAGGTGACAGAAAACTTGCTAGGAATTCAGGGGCAAAGGCTGGGCCACTTACTAGGGCTCCCTACTGCGATTTGGGCTGAGCTTGGAACCAGAGAAGCTTCCAGTACAGCCATGGGTGACTTATACTAGTAGGGGCAGCATCTGGAAGTCCTGCTGGGGAGATGATCGTGGGCAAGGTTCTATTCTGGGGGAACACCAGAGGGCCCCAGAGAAAGGTGGTTAGTTTTAAAAATGGATCAAATATCTTTATCTACAGAACTAAAATTCTGCTCAAATCTTAAATCTAAGGAAGAAGTGAGGAGAAGGAGACAGAGGTGGAAAGTGGATAGAGGACAACTAGTAAGGTTGATAGTTAGGGGTTCTATTGTATATAAATTAAAGGTTTGGGAACTAGGGGTTAAAAATGGAGATAAATACCAGTAATGGCAACAAACTGGGTGGCTGAGGCAAGAGGATTCCACATTTGAGCCCAGCCTGGGCAATTAGCAACTTAGTGAAACTCTGTCTGAAAGCAATAAAGAATGAAAGAAAGCTAGAAATAGAGCTTGGTGTGAAGGCTCTGGGTCCAATCCTTATTACTGGGGGGAAAAGCCCTTTAATATAGTGCCTACTAGTTGAGAGAATGAGCTGGGTTTAGGCAAACTCACAGGGTAAGCTGGGCATTTTTCTTCCCTTTCATGGCCGTAGGGAATTCTTGTGTGGGAAGGGGGTTGCTTAAAATTCCTCCATCAACATTCTCCTCCTACAGTTGAGGACAGTGGTGTGCAGGGAGCCTGTACTACCCTGGGCTGCCGGGAGAGAGGTGACTGCTCCTCTCCCTGCTGGGGGCTTTCTTGGTTGTAAAGACTTTGAGCTCTTTGTCTCCTAAGAGCAGTGAGGAAGGGAAAGAGATCTGAAGAAGAGCTGAAAGATGGAGCTCCTGTGGCTGCATGTGGTAGGCTTTGTCCAGGGCCTGTGGTGATGGAGCTCCTCCCACGTCACCCGGAAGCTTGTCAGATTTGCAGATCCACAGACCCACCACCTCCAAGTGAACTTGCAGAGGTGCTCAGCAACCGGTGTTTGCAGGGACCCTCTCCAGGTGATCTCCATGCTATCTAGAGATGGAGAAGCACAGTCTGGTGTCTCCAAGTGGGACATGTGCTGAGGCCCAGTTTCCCCATCTTGCCTGGAAAGCACTTGAAATCCAAAGGAGGCCCTTGATAGAACTCTGCCTTTCTCTGCCCTCTCCATCCACTACAGTGTTCCTCGGGTCTCCTTCCCTCTGCACATCTTATTGTCACCCTTCTGGGGCTGCAACCTTATCTGCTGGACCCAGATAAAGAGCACATTGGCCTAATCAGTCTGGCCGGACTGGCTGGCTCCAGGGAGGTCTGCAGATGGTGCCAGAAACAGACCTGCTGGCAGGGTTGACCCCCTTCCCCACCCATCTCTCCTCCAGAAAATACTGCTTCTTGGCTAGACAGTCTCCTTTACTAGTCAGCCCCCAGCAACTTAATTCCCAGGAAAGATAAGAGGTGACCATGTAGGGCTTCTGTGAAAATCATAGTGGTAAAGGTCTCTGTCAAGGTTGAGCTGCCTTATGGGGGAGAGAAAGGGGAACTGGACCGAGACTATCTGAATCTGCTGCAAAGCAAACATGCCTTTGTGTATCTCAATGGCACCTCAAGATGACTATCACTTCAGATTTATTGCAGATTCTCTGTACTGAAGATTTTGCCCATCATCTGGCTAGTGCCTTGCTTGTTTTTGTGATGCATTGTTAAGTAAAGTGAAGGAGTAGGGTCTCCCCACATTGCAGAGAGCTGGAGACAAGCTTGGGAGCTTGTTAACATTCTCACTGTTTAAATCCTTGTCAGGAGCTGGGACCCTAGGCCCACCCTACTGGTATGGCAGGAACCAGGGCTCATGCTCATGAAAGCTCCTCTGTGAGGGAGGTCTGCTGATGTGCAGGTCAGATGTGCAGCCCAGGCTCTGCCTGTGAAGCACGAAGCATCAATGAACGGGATCTGTAATCTTGGGGAAAATGACTGTCATTCGGGGCTGACTCAAAAACTGGTCGTTTGTTTTGAATGAAGAAAAGGTGGTCCAGGAGAAGGCTATCACGAGTTCTTTGCAGTAGCCCCTGGGTGAGAGGGTTTGGATTGGAAACAGGGAAGGGGTGGTGGTTGGAGTGTGCTCTGAACAGGAAGTGGCAGACACAGGACTTGTCAGGCCACCTCTGTTTTGCTCCATGCTGTACCTCTTCTCTTTGGCCTGAGCATCACTGCCAAATTCATGGGGGAAGGCAGAAGACTTAGGGAAAAGAGTTTAGGAAGTGGCTGTTTGTGTGTGTGGAGGGGCAAAAGGCATGGTGGAAATGTGCCTTTCTTTTAAATTATCAGACAAGTACAGAGATTCAGTATAGAGGAGAGGAAGTGGCTGATATAGGGATGAGGCGCAAGTCCCAGCCCTTCAGCTCATGACCTCTCTTGGTGACTTTTAAACCACTTTGAAGGATCCCACCAGCCCATGGGACATAGTTTGGAACCCCTGGGAAATCTAATTGATTCCATTAAGAGCTTTCAGGAGGCTCCTGCACTTCCTCAGTAGTTTTCCAAGAACCAGTGGTGAGGGGCCGTCTAACTGCCAGGACTGGATTGCTACTCCGTGGCCCGGAAGTGGCCTCTGTTTCTAGAAATATTATGGCATGAGCTCCTATGCAGGGCAAGTGTCTCCAGGGGCTGGGAGTCTCATTTCCACTGGGGGCCTGTAATAATGCAGAGATGCAGCATGTCAGCCCACAAGAGCAGCTGTGTGTTTGGAATGACCTTATTTTGAACAGGTATTTCTGTGGCTGGCCTCACAGAATGTCAGGCCCTCTGGAGCCTCGCCTAGATCCCTTCCCCTCACGTTTTTCCTTCTATCGGTAAAGCCAGTTTTACAAGCACTGTGGCTATTTAGCCCCTGCTGGTAACTGAGGACATCCAATAGTATACCCAAAGATCTGAGAAGTCTTGCATGAAAAACTGGCTTTTCTTTGCTTAGCCATGCCTCACGTTTGTTTGAGAAACACCTGTTTAACATGTCTAGGGATTAGGTTCTGCACCAAGTCCTTCCTTTTATTGAAGTAAACACTGTTTACTTACAGCGTCCTTCTCTGTCGGGGGTTCTTGTTTGCTGTTTAGTGGGTCTCTTCCTTTGTAGAGCTTAATCTCCACCAGAGCAGGGGATTGTTTAACTTGAATAATGCTTTGCAGTGGATCATAAATATGTGAAGAATGAAAGTACGGATGTTGCAGTGCTGGGGCAGGCATTGCTGGACCGTGCCTTTACCTGTGCGATCCCTGCCACTGCGAAGGCCCTCCCTGACCTCTGCTCTCCCCATTCCAGGCCCACCATCCCCTCCCCTCTGACTGACTCAAGGAGTCTCCTGAGCTACCCACCATCTGCTGCCAGCAATTCTTGGACTCACTCCTTTGGGACACCTGTTCTTACTTGATCAGTAAGCTTGCTTGGCTTTCTTCTTTGGGTGAATTAAGGAGAATGAGCTCATTCTGGGGAGTGGCTTGAAGACTCACAGTGATGGGAGGCTGGTCAGTCTGTGATGAATGCTGAGGGTATAGATAGGTAAGCCTGGGCCTTGCCCTCAAGTGCCCGCTGGGCAGCCCAAGGATCAACTCAGTGGATACTGGAACCATCACACCAAATGAGTCCCAATTATTAAATTTTGGGGAATTTTGCAGGCTAATTGTCAAATGGTAGAATTGTGACTGTAGAATCTGGCAAAAATCTGCAAAAGCATTCTGTGAGATCAGTTTGCCATGTGAAACTTACAATAAAGAGTATTGTATCTTTCATTTTATTAATATCTGTAAATTATATGTTATATAGTCTTGTATTGGCAACATTTATTTTATGAAGATTTTTTTCCCCTGGAGAGCTAGTTGTCAACCATTTACCAGTGCTCCACTGGTTAACACCCTGTATTATGTCCCTTCTGGGCTCAAGTGTTTTTATCAGAGAAGAACGAGGGGCAGTGTGATCAAGGGGAAGAGGACATTCATCCCAGAGTTGGTGAGCTTAGTCTCAGAGGTAAAAATCAACTCAGAGGATGGGACTTAGAGGCTCACCGACTTGCTCACAACCACGTATTTTGCTGGTGGCTCCACAAGGCCTAGCCCTGGTTCCCTGGGCCATGGCCCTGGCACACCAGCCTCCTTATGCTCTTCCAGCCCCCAGTATGCCTTGTACACTTTTCTGGTTCTCATGGGTCCTTCAGGTGTCCTCAGCCCCTCTCAAAGCCTTTCCCAAGAGGAAACAGGAGGAATGAGGGGAAGGGTGGGCAGAGTCTCTGTGAGCCTGCTTTGCAAGGCCACATTTGCCACAGCTGGGCTTCTGGCTGGCCAGATACTCTTCTGTTACACTCTGATGGATGCATCCAAATAAATCAGTTCACAGCAGGAAAAGACTCAGAGGATTCCAGGTCTAGTGGAACCAGCTCTGATTTGGAGGGCAGGGAGAGCAAGGAGAGGCAGGTTGCAGGCCAGACTGGGTGACGGTGCTCTGAAGGGCACCCAAGAAGGAGCTCTATTTGGGGACAATCTGTGTCTTTCGACAGGGGTCCCTCCAGCCTTACATTTCTCAAGTGGATTTTGGGCTGTTGACCCCAGTACATTCCGTGCACACTAGGAGAACAGAGCAGGTAATTCTGTATAGCTCCCAGCCTCATGTACCCAGAGTTACCATGGGAGCTTCTGAAGGGCTGGAGGGTGATATGATGCTCTGGGTCATGAGTGGACTAGGCTGACAGGCCTGTACATGGGTCACCTGTTACTGGCTGGAGGAATTTGAAACCCACTGATTTCCTGTCACCAGAGTTGGGCATGAAGAAGACTGTGTGTTTGAAGTTGTTCCATGGAGATTGTGTGTGCAGGCAGACATTCAAATGTGCTGTAACTGATACTCATAGTGTAGAGAATCCTGAGTGCTCTCTTCTCAGGATCTTCCCTTCTGGCTCCACCTAATACTTTCATCTGGCCCTGCAGTTCAAGGGCGGGCCTGTCCCTGACCTTCTGTAGTAACCTGTCCCACTATCTCTGCTCCATGTCTCTTCACAGTGAGTGCACTCTGTTGCCCAGTTCAAACCTCTTTAGCTATACCACAGCATATTTTCTCTTCTTTTGGGCTATAGCAGTGATAGATGGCAAACTTTTTACAGCTTTCAATGATACAATAGCCCACTGTTCAACACATGCCATAGATTTGCTGCTGCTGGACTACAGAGACCCTGAATGAACCCAGGGTAGCTCGCTTCTGTTCACTCAAATTTCATTTACAGATATGGAAGCTACATCTAAGCCTTATTTCTCCTTGGTCTGGAGACTCCCTTTTGTTGATGAGGGAGTCCAGTGAGGTGGATCCAGCTTTGCAGATAAGCCATTCAGACCCATAGGACTTCTCAGATATGGTAGCTGAGTCTTGGATTTAGAGACTGGAGTTCAGAGAGGTGACCTGAGTAGCACTGAAATGCTGGGTTGGGAGCACTAATTCTAGGTCAGAGCCAGCTCACTGTCCTCTGACTGAAGTATGAAACCCAGGCCACTACTCTTCAGCCAGGAGCCACAGGAAACAATCCTGCTCTGTTAAGCATGCCCTAGCCAAGCCTGTAGGGTGTTGATCACTGCCAGAGAGAGGCCAGGAGCCAACAGGTGAATGGTAGCCCTGGTGGAGGTTTACCTCACCCAGCTGGCATCAGGCTGACTCAGAGGACAGGGTCTCGAATCACAGCTGCCTCCATGATATCCTCTTGGCACTTTCCCCTTCAGGCACAGACTAGGCCAAGCTCCATAGCACTTACATAACAGAACCTGGTTGTGCCTGCTGAGAAAGTGATGGCAAAGTCCAAAAATAAGTACTATTCACCAATCATTAGATATGAAATGTTATTGGGGAGGGGTAGAAAATGGGCTGCTCCGATGGATACTAGTGAGGGACAGAGACCGGGTCAAGCCACCTGAGACTTTTTCTTCTCTTACCCATCATCTCGCCTATGGAAGCCCACTCCCATTTTGTGTGTGTGTGGGTGTGGGTGTGTGTGTGACTGAGTAACAATAAAACCACCATTGGATGCACACGTTGTCCTATATAGTTTTCAAATTATGTTCCCACTAAAAGCTGTGCTGAGGATCATCTGAGAGCACAGAATAGGGCTGGGTGGGGACTATCATTGCCATTTCATATACTAGAAGGCTGAGACTTTTTTTTTTTTTTGTGGTAATGGTCCAACATGTAAGAAGTAGAGCTGGTTCTAAAACAGGCTGTTTGGATCTCAAGTCCAGAATGATCCTCCTCTGTAGCAGTTCTCTTCCCATCACCCCTCTGTCTTGCAACTCATGCGTCTTCAAGCTGCTGAGGTTAATGCCTATCAAATCTGCTAAACCAAGCCACGGCAAGGCTTTGTTCGGGTTAGGCAACCTGGGTGGTCAGAAAGGAGATACTTGGGAGTGGGTTGTATGGTGGCTTTTAACAGAAAGTTAGCAAGTCAAATTATAGATGCTCAATTCAATTTGGTTTTCAGAAAAAGAATGAGCTCTTTTTTAGTATAAGCACATCTCAAATATCGTACAAGACATAACTTATACCAGAAGTTGGAAATTCAAATTGAACTGGGTGTTCTTTATTTTGTCTGGCAATCCTATATTAACGATCCCTAAATTATACCATGTGAACATTATTTTCATTACTACTAAGATTGTCTCTATATCAGGTTAGAAATTGCTAGCCAAGGAATATGTCTTAGAAATTAAGGTTGAGAGCCAATTTTCAGGATGGATGTGAAGTTAATTCTGCTTATAAAGGAAGTAGGTGGGGCTGTGTAAACCCTAAGACTCTTCCACTTGATGTAACCACTGTGTTTGATTGTCTTACAGTTCTTGGATACTCTGTTCTATTTTTGTTTAATCTTTTAAAGGTATTATTTTCTCCTCCTTTTTGCCTTTGTGTTTCAGTCTGATTCCAGTTGACTCCTCTTCAAGTTCACCAACTTTTTCCTTGGCTGTGTTGAGTCTATGGATGAGTCAGTTATTCATTTCCAGCGTCAAGAACCAGTTCCCAGAAATGGACTGAGGTTGCAACTGGGAAGGACTGGTCACAGAAAGGCCTTCCTGTGGTGGAGGAGGTGACATCCTCAGAGAGATGATTAAGAGAATCATACCTCCAAATTCAGCTCAGGAGGGGCCTTGTGGGAAAGGAGGCAAGGTGCTAAGTGGGTCAGGTTCCTTTGAGCTCATAAATTTCCTTTACTGTGGCTCAGAAGTGAAGGGAAGGGTTTTCCTGCTGTTATTCCTAAAGTTCCACAGCAGATCCCACCTAGAAACTGGGCAGAACTTTGAGCCTGGTGAACAATAAATGAAAATAAAATATGTAAATGATAGTTGAAGTTAGAACACTCACACCCATAGGGCAGAGGGGAGGACTTGATCTAGGATTGTGCCCCTAAGCACACAGCTCTGTAGCAATATTAGTTGAGGAAGTTTTGCAAAGTGAGATCCTGGAGGTAGGTCTTGGAGTTACCCATCTACATTCTAAAGATCAGAAACATCTGGTCTTCACTGAGTGCCTACCAGAACTAAGGCCCACAGGTACCGTACTAACTAACTCTGGTGGCTATAATACTGAACAGAACCCAGACTCTGCTGTAAGAAATGCCTGGGTGTTTTTCCTCACGCCTTTTCCCCCTCTTGTCAGTCAGTCTTAAATATCCAAGATTGCAACAGGCCTTTCCTCAAATTTTAGTTCCCTGTCCATCATCTCATACAACCCTATTGTCATCACTGATATCTGGTATATGTTCTTATTTATTTATAGGTAATTGCCTGTCTTCCCCTTCTCCTTCTCCTTCTCCTTCTCCTTCTCCTTCTTCTTTTTGGTTTTTTGAGACAGGGTCTCACTATGTAGTTGAGACTGACCTGGAACTCACTATGTAGCCCAGGCTGGTCTCAAGCTCCTCCTGCCTCAGCCTCCTGAGTGCTGGGATTACAGGCATGCACCACCATACCTGGCCTATCTTCCCTTTCTTGAAGGGGAAGTGGAGCAAGCTTTTTCTATACTCACCTTGCCTGGTAAATAATAGATTCTTTGATAAAGTTATATAATGAATGAATGAAAAAAGGGAAATTTTCTGGCCATAGTTTTGCTGAGACAGAATAAACTAACATTTAACCTAAAAAGAACTCCAGAATTCTTTTTAAATAATCTGCTGCATTTTGTCCAATTTCTTCTTGAATGATCTTAAATGCCATGCAAAAAAGAAGGTAGAAGATGGTTTCAGTCCGTGGGCTTTTAGAGTACTACGTCTGTAGAGAAAAAAAATTTTTTTGCGGTGACTAATACAGCAGAGTTTAATGGATGCTTTTCTGACTGATTGATTATGAAGGTTTAAGCCCAGGAAGGCTCTGGCCCAGTAGGCATTCCTTTGTGAGTAGCGCCTCCCTCCCTGTTCTA